AATATATCATTTTTATATTTATTATATGTATAATAATAGTAATAATTCGTCATACGGCTCGCGCGTCCATCGATGATGCCATTTACAAGTAAATATATACACGTTACAAATTCTACTTTTTTCATTCAAAATAATCATAATAATAATAATGATAATAATATACAACAAATTTAATGTTTACGTAGGTGTACAGTAAATCTAATAGTTTTTGTTTTTCTTTCTCATTTGTTTCGAGTGACTCTGAACACTGCACGATTACGAGTATTTTTTAAAATTCATTTAATTATTTATTTTTTTCATTTTTAGGAAACTTTTGACATGAGTGACGTGAAAGGAAAAGAGTCACAGTAGCAGTGAAATCTCATGAATGCGCGTCAAGCGAACGTATTCATTTGTTATCGCAAAAAAACGCCAAAATCACTGTCCTCCCTCGCTAAATACAAACCCCTCGATCTATACAAATATTTACAATCACGCACACGCGCTCGGCTCACTCGCACATTTAATGTAGTAAATTCGAGAATAATGTCTATTTTTTTTTTTTTTTTTTTATTGAACAGCATAGTCGACAATTTTTTCGCGTTTCTTGGAAAAAAGTACCGAGGCACAAACATCTGCAACGTAACACATTCGAACGATTTGACTTTACGCGGCGGAGCGTAACTCATCTCCACTGCGGAAAAAACAAAAAAAAAAACCGGGCCAACGAGCTCCTCTCATCCGATACTTTTTTCGCAAGAATACAGAGATAAAGACGGAGCACACAATCATCGTGTCCTCGATTTTAATTAAAAAATTCGTCTAGATTAAACGGGAGGAAAACACCCCCTCCCCGATAACATTACCATCCTCTGACCTGTTTTTAAATCCCACGCTCGCGAGAATCAACCGGGTACGCTGCAGGTGGCTGTGCACGGTACGTATACGCACACATATTACGTACGTGTAAGCGGCTCCTGTTCAGTGTGGCTGCGCCGAGCTGTCGCTCCGAAGACGTCCCGTTGAAATTCGCTCTGGGCCACGCGGAGATTCGCGCTTCAGAAAATTTAATCTTCTCTCTCTCCAGTGTGCGACGACGTCGCTGCCACCGCTTGGCGTACGTGACACTCCGATATGGGCGGAAGCTTAATAGGAAGATTCGAAGTCTCTCCCCTGTACGTGCACCCGTGATTTCCCCAGCCCCGTCATTTTACCCTTCTCTCTTTAATTTTTCCTCCCCCCCCCTTTCCCTTATAAAACCCGCCTCCTTAATTTTTTCCACAATTCTCAGCCGCGAGCCCCCCTTGCTAAGCCCTTTCTATTAGCCCGATAATCCCGCCTCGTTTGGGCGCGTAATTTCAAACGGACCCCTCCCACCCTCCTGCTTCTGAGTTACTCCCCGCGATTCACCCGGAAACTGAAAATTCATTGCGGCCCCCCTTTTTTTCGCGCTAACGATATCCATCCTCTTGTCGGGCCATTGAAAACAATTACCGCTCGTTACGGAGAGATGTTTCAAAAAGCAAATGGAAAAGAAAATAATCCCCCCCTCGAAAAAGTCAATTAGGCTCCTTTGGAAAATACCACCGTGTCGAGCCAATAATATTTACCACGGACAGTTGGTTACGCAACAGATTCGAATTAACGCGGCCGCCCTCTCGGAGGTATTGTCCGTATTGGCTGTACAAAACAAGATATTGGATTCCCGCGTAGGATGACGAGCTCTCGAGCCGGAGCTGAAGGAGCCCTTAGCTGCAGATGGAGACGAGGGAAGCAACGAGGGCCGGTGGCATCCGTAGCATGAGTTCAAGGCCGCGGCCTGAGCAGCAAGCGCGCGAGGGTCACGCAAGCGATGAGCCCGACAATGCTGGACCGGCTGAAGACCGGCCGGGCGCCGCTGTAGCTCGAGGCCTGGGTGACGTTGAGGGCGACCGAGGCGTTGGCTATACCCTCGTTCGACCTGACGAAGAGCAACCACTCGCCAGCGTGCGCTCGCTGGACCCGCTCGAAGCGCAACACGCTGCGGTAGCAAGCCTCGGTGCCGCCGCTCTGCAACAATATGCGTTCAGGTGTCAGCCTACATATAGGGTCGTTTCACTGAGGCGTATTATACATACATGCCAAGTCTGTCTTATGCGTTATTGTTATCGCGCTGTCTGTCTTGTATGATCAAGGGGGGGCGAAGGCTATTGTTCAGGATCACAGCCATTGTTACTGTATAACTGGCGTTAAGTACGAGCCGTGTTACGCTTCGGCTGTAATTTAGGTCGGATGTAATTGTGCGCCATCGATTATTCGCTATGCGTATAAATACATAAATGTTACTTAATGAGGTCGGGTAAACATGACAGGTATGAATGCTAACTTGAAACGCTACGTGCAAATATATTAACAAGTTGTAAGTACAATGAATCGGGATATTTTTTGTTAATAGTGGCAGAGTAAGGGACTCCCGAAGCAAGAAGACAAGGTATAAATGTAGTGGGACGGAGAAGAGGATCGGGGGCCGTTAATCCCGAAAGCCACTGCCGCAAGAACGCCATGGGACGTTCCTCCCGTGTGGGGAGTTGCGAGAAAGTCAATGGCGCGGGAAACAGTAACTCCTTACGCGCGAACGTGAAATATCGCCCGAGCCCCTCTATCCCCTTTTTTTCCCTACAGCTTTTCCTCTGCCTCCTCGCCTTTTTTCCATGGTAGAGCCATTTTTTCCTTTTTTTCGTACCTCTCGTTAATTTTTTTTTTTTTTTTTTTTTTTACCGATCGCGATATACATCCGTACGTATCGCGGGCTTTTCACGAAAAATTCATCCACGAGCGACACGAGATCGTTGCATTACGTAAAGGTGGAAAAAGAAAATCATTTAATCAAGTCTGTCAAGTAATTGGTCTCAGTTTCACAAACAACAAAATGTACGTTTCGTTGGAGAAACGTGGCAAAGGCGTGGGACAGGATACACGCCTTTTATTCCATAAAAAGTACACAAGAAAGCAATGAAAAAAAAAAAAAAAATAAATAAATAAAGGGGCGGAGGGGATGTCTCACCTCGATGGGCAGAGCCCGCACCCCGTCGCGAAGCTCGCCGCCCGGCAGGTAAACCCTCTCCTCGGACATCCAAAAGACCTTGGTGTAGGCCGGTTCCGCGCAAAATTCAACCACCACGTCGATCGAGTCGCCTTCGTTCGTCCTCATCGTCTGCGACGGCGGATGGACCATGGGAGCTCCTGCAAAGAAGAAAAAAAAAAAAAATTGCCTGACGTGAGTAAAAAAATAAACAACAAAATCATCAGCCAATACGCACACGATGCATTATTTGAATACACCGAGTACGAGGTAAAATATAATCCATGGAGCGGGTGCGGGAAGGTATAATGCTTTCTCAAATTGTTGAAGAGAGTCATCATCGTGGAGTAACGTCACAGCAACCGACTGTCCCACTCACCCGGAGGCAGAGCCCATGCGCTAGAGAAAAGACACACACAGGATGGGGGTAGAGTCGGGCGCGTAACACTCTGCACTCCAACTAATTGAAGCTTGGGGTTGGTGGTAGACACAGTCGCCGCAACACACGCGCCCTTTCCTCTCTCTCATCTGCATAAATTTGACGCTTCGTCGAACTCGCAGTACCTCCTCCCTGTGACCCTCTTTCAACCGCCGCGCGAGTCAGTCCCTCCATCACCTGTGCTCGCGCGTGTGGGTATTATCCGAGTGACCTTGTTCGCTCCTTGACTCGCACAAAGTTACGGACGCATCGAGCACACACACACACGTACACCGGTAATATTAGTACAGCGAGTCCGAGCCCTCGAGCTATATACGCGGCCCTCCCCGACGCTGTGTGCGCTCAAGAATATTCCGAGGCTCGGGAAATTACCGGAATTCCCCGAGAGCCGGCTTTTCGCGCTCCTTCGCGAGAGAGATTTGCCTCCCTCGTCCACCATCACCCGCACAACTAACCATTTCGTTCCGAGGCTATATACTCATCCCCTCTCGGCTATTTTTTTTTCTCCCTTTCTCTCTCTCTCTCTCCATACCCATCGAAGGGAGCCCCGAATCCTTTGATTTCGCCTTCGGGGCTCTCTGTTTCTTTCGATTAGCTCGAGGGTACTTTTACTTTTTTCGAGGGTCAAAGAGAGTATCCGATACGACTTTTTGAGCAATTTAATCGTCGCGCGCAACTTACGGGCAAGAGTTTAAAGAACGGCCCCGGAAAAACGAGGGAAGGAAGGTCGAGAGTGAAGTTTTCTCATCATCTCCTATAAGTAACGATTATTAAAGTTCATCCCCCCACGTGTACATGGTATCTCGATGGTGCATTAGCATGATGTATATACATCACGCGTATATATGCATATTCCGCAAAAAGTTGATCATTTTGTAAATTAAGCCCGTAACTGCGAGGATTATTCGCCAAGGTGGATAATATGGTTGTACAAGCAGAGAGGAAACCCCAACGTCTTTCGACGCAGGGAGCGGAGGGCATTATCCCCGAGAAATTAAAGTTTAATCGCTCCGCGTTGGTGTGAAAAATAAAACAAACAAAAAATGTCCAACCCTCCGCGCCGAGTGGACGGCAATTGCGCGCTGCTGGAAAATTTATTAAACGATCCCGGGGTAGATCGAGGGACAGACTTATTTCCCCGATTAGCATTAGCACGGAGGGGCAGGGGGGCGAGAATTCACTCGGACAGCTCGTTTCAAAAGACGCTATCGTGACCGGCGCACAACCCCATTGTTGCGAACGAGGGGACAGGCTACGAAAGCGAGGAGCAGCCGGCTCGCGTTATCATCCTTTTGTTCGGAATGTTCATTAAAGCGCTCTAAGCGGCTTTACCTTAGATTCCGGATTACGATGTCGCCGATTCGGCCTAGCCCTCCCCCCCTTCCCCACCGATATGTGTATATATTTGCACGTGTATAAATGTGAGGGTGCTCCTTCTCCTTCCGTCTCTGGCGATCCCTCGTGAAATTGCATTTTCACTCGTCGCCTCTTTTGTGTGTACCTGTAGTCGTACGTATACGTATACGAGAAGAAAATAACGTGTACCTCGTTGATGAACATTCATGGAAAAACGCGTATAGGGATTATATGGTATACATTGTCCTACGACGAGTGGCAAAAGTTGGGATCAAGATCCTTACCCCCTCCGCCAACTCTCGAGAATCATTATTGATGGGCTGGGTTGAAATAACAAGGCGTACGCTCGAGCGCCGAGAGTAACTTTTCGCGGAGAGGGAAAATAGAGACTTTGCCGCAATTTGCCCCCGGAAAATTGCTCAAGTTCAACAAACTTGAGTAGCGCACCGGGTTCTAGGTGTGGGGTAGTACTACCTATACTTGGTTATTCTAGCGGTTAAGAGCGGCGGTAGTGGTTATAATGAGTGCGTATTTGTCGAGAGATGCCCGGGCGGGCGAGTGTCTCGAAGACAAATTGGGGAGCTGCCAACCCACGATTTCTCGGGTCCATTTGTAGATCCATGGGTATATGCTTTTTCGGATGTTATTTCGAAAAAAAGGGCCGGGGGGTTGAATCCGAGGGAGACGTGCTACAGCAAAAAGCTCTTTTGCACGCGAGCTTCACACCCTATTTTGCAGTAGGGTGGCGTCAGCCCAACAGCCGGTGGGATAGGATAAACTACGTATAGTCTGTCTCGCATCCGCAGGGGTATACTCCGCTGCTTGGCGAAATTCGGTACAGGACCTGCCAGTCGCGACGTGTCCTTTGGGGTGGAAGTGCGAATACTTATAAATTGACAGGGGAATGATGGTGAATGACGAGTGTGTGGAAGTGATGGGATGAATCGAGCGGGGGGGGGGAGCAATACAATCGTAGGTTGTATAAACGAAATTGGGGGAGATGACAGTTGTTCCGGGCCGCTTGGGGATTTAATTCCTCTTTGCTGCAACATCTGATTCGTGAATTTATTTTCGGTCTCCGGGGAGTGTTTTTTTTTTTTTGTTTCCATCAAATTGAGTCTCGGAGATCCTTTGTAGAAGATGCATGGAGTCTTTTTTTTTTCGGTGAAAATTCTTCTTATAACGGTTTTATTAGAACTGACGCCACAAATTGCGTTAAACATTTTAATTAAATATCTTGGATTATGTCGGTTTTCGGATGTAATCGATGGATCAATAAAATCATTCGTTCAAACCGTTGAAACACAATACGCTGTAGTTTTATTGTATCAGAGATCGATGGGATTCTTCGATAAGAAATAACCGGAAGCATTACTTGAACGAGTCGGCGAGGCAGAAAATATTTTTGTACAATTAATGGAATTTCACGAGCTTAAAAATTCTCGCACAAGACGGTCGACGATCATCCGGTATAAATGTACGTTATTTAAAAAATTTTTGTTAATAAAAAAATTTCATTATTTTTAAAACGCTGACGTTGTATTTTTTATAATTGGATTACATAAGTTACAAATATTCTTCTATAACTGTAGATCTACATTGAGTAAAAGAGGATAACAAGTACAATTAGACACTGTTTTTGTACATTTTTGCATTGACGTAATTTCTTTAGAAATCTTTATAATTGTACATGCAATATTAAAGACTTGCTTGCGGTAGGGATAGGCGTGACTGACCTTTTGTGTTTGCTATCAAAAAATCGAAAACTTAGTGATTTATAAGCTAACTTATACCCCAATAAGCACACACACTTCTAGTGAGTGCCTATGAGCAAAGTCGGGAAATTTTAATAATTACTCGAGTACTTAAAATTCATCGTTAAATTGATGACGTGCATGGGCGCCGAGTAAGGACTCCCGATGATTTCAACGACTCCCAACTACCCCAAAGAACTCCCATATCCCATGGAGTCTTTTTTTTTTCGCTTCAGGACCGCTTAGTTCCTCGTCTCCTTTTCTCAGTTTGCTCTTTCTCTTCAACAGCAGCAGTAGCTACGTGGTTACTTTTCATTTCTTCTTTTGCGCTTTTCAGACTTTCCAGCTCCAAAGACAAAGGCGCTGCCAAGCGGCGGCATCTCTCCTCTGCAGAGCTCTGTTTTCCTCCCCCACGGACAACCGTACCCCCTGCATACATACATATACATATATACAACCCACCGCGCTGTCATTATACCGTCCTCGTCCCCACCGTGTCCCCAAGCCTCTGCAGTTCCACCTCGTCGCGGAAACTGCTCTCGTCCCCCTCACCTTTCTTTTTAACAAAGTTCCCTGGTCTTACTGTCGCTCTGCTATTAGGCTCATTCTTCGCCTCCTCCTCCTCCTCCTTTTTCTCGCCCCGACAGTGATTAAGGTATTTTTCAGTTTCATAAAGTACTTAAGCCACTCTCTTTTAGATTAAATTAATCTTTTCTCCCCGAGTCTCTTTTCTTTCGTTTTTTTTTTTTTTTTTTCGCGCTAAAACTACGTGCGTCCCACAATGGCTTCCTATCTGCGGTAACTATTCTGCAAATTGTGCCGAATAACCATTTTATTTCTTTTGAAAACGGTAAAAAAAAAAAAAAAAAAAAAAGGATGGCTTTTTACAAAAAAAAATATACATCCCACTAGTTGATTTTAATACGAGAGCATAGCTACGAGGCAAAAGGGTAACGAGAGTTGCCTGTTCTCCTTGTTCTTGTTATCCCCGCATCTCCTCTCGTTATATACATTAGACGTATATCACTATGTACAATTCTCTTAGGCGGGGAAATACAAGAATATACGCGAAACATTTGCTTGGAGGGAAAAAAAAAAAAAAAAAAAATGGGAACGAAAAAGCTTGGAGCGAGCTCAGCGAGGCGTCGCCGAGTCTCCCCCGAGCCATCTTTCCACCCTCGAAATTCACAAGTCAGCGTAACACCGGCAAATAAAGAAAAACAATACGGTGTAAGGAACGGGGGGGGAGGTAGACAGAAGTACACTCGGCTTCCGAGGGGCGCACGGCTGACCGCGACGGTCTTGTTTGCCGGCGCGCCCGAGAAATTAGCGTAATTAGGAAAAGAGCGGCCAGCTGTAATCTTTCACCTGATATCCCCGTAATTGCCGGCAGTGGTGGTTGTAGCAACAGCCGAGCCTGCTGCTGTTCAAATAATTTCATTTGCATAACGATTATATGATTACTCCTCGGCCCACTGCTTGTGCGTGTGCGTTATCTACGTCCCCTTGCGTTTGCTCGCGGATGAGAGAAGTTGGCCTGAAAATTAGCCCCTGGCTATTCCATAATGGCTATAAAAACGGTACACGGAATTTTCTGTTCGTGCACCGTTTG